TTACAATATACAATTATTTTGTAAAGTGTAATACACCTAATTTACTTAGCAACTAAAGTTCCATTCAAACCTAAAAAGAAGAACTCTCTTAGATTACTGTAACCAGATTTATGAAATCCTATAACCAAGATTAAATAATTTACCTAATTCTAACTTAAACTATAAAAAAATTTAAAAAACTATAATTTTTGTCTATAAAAAGAAGATAAATAACAGAAGTTCAGCTTTATGGTTATTTTTTAATATAAGCTTTATTGATAATAATGATTTTATTACTTTCAGTATAGAACTGTAAAAATAGTTTGAAATCTTATAGTATATAAATAAATTTTAGAGCCTTGCTAACTAAAATATTTTATTGATAATAAGGCCCGCCTCAATAATTTTATCTGCAGAGGTTAAATAACAGGCCATGGGAGTGTGTTTATAATTTATTGTAAAAACTTTCAAACCCTCAAAACGCCTAACAACCCCAAACTTTTGGAGACCTGAAAAAACCCCGGGGCATTACAGAACTTGGAACCCAAACTGGTATTTCTAACTTTTCTCGTAAAAACCGGTTCTCTAGGGGTAAGAGCATGTTTCTTTAGTGTACCAACCGATGTAGTAACTTAAAAACTTTTTAGTATACACACTATGTCATAAATTCTTTGAAGTTAGTATATAATTTTTGTTAGTGGCTATCACAAGCGTAATTTAATTGGTGCATCTATTTATTCATCTTCCATCATTGGCTTTCATAATGACATCGTTAACAAAAATTCTATTAATTTTTAAACATTTGCGTAGCGTTTATTGCATATCAAATGAAAATAAAATATTGGTGTTGGATCGACTGCTTGATACAAAAGTTCAGCTTTTGGTACAAACGTGCGCTCCTAGCCTGCGTGACGGGAGTGTCAGATTGTCGGACTAAGAACTCGGCAAGGTTGCAATTCTATACCCCCTATAAAGAAACGTTCATTTTATTAAGTTATTTTGTATAGCTGCAAAATGATGAAGTAATTAAATATTAATCCTCTTTATTATCCTCAAGATCAGAGTCCAAGTAGAACTGTTTATAAAACGCCAGTAAGAGAATCTACTGAATAAAGCGACCAAACACAATAACAATTTACTTGATCAATATTTTCTTTCGTAAATGCCAACTCGGTAATCTCCTCCAAGTAAAGAGCGTCGTTGCAACACTTTAATAACAATTCTTCCTTGTTATCCCAAAAGGCATGCAGGACCTTCAAGACTTTAAATATTTATAATATTCATTGTAATTGATTTAATTGCTAACCTCCTCAGAGCATAAACGCAGTTACTAAAAACTTCCCCACGGGATATTAATAAATTATACAGGGACAAAAACCCTTGAATTTGGTGAGGAACTATTCCTAATTATTTAATCAAAATTAAAAAAAGCTTGCTTCGGTCACCATATAATATGGAGTACCCAAAGGGGTCTCCTCAACTTCAGTGCTGGAGATAGAAAGGTTAACAATATTAGGCAATATTAACAAAATAGTAACGGGTATATAAAGTAATTTTAAAGTTAAATTTTTTTTAGTACCCTTATTTTAGTGCAAGTGCACTTAAGGGTTGTAAGTTCAGAGAAAATAATTAAAAATATAAATGAACTGACCTTGCCGGATACTGCAAAAAGGAAACAAACAATTCTACTGTTAAAATGCTTGCTATAAAGTGAAGGCCTATTTATAAAAAATTAGCAGGATTCCTCGGTATAATATCTTTTTTAGTTATTTCTTTTTTAGTCAACCTTTTATCCTATTAAACTAAAATTGCGACATTGTTTTACTTATATGTAGATTAAGGTAGAGGAAAGTCTTTACAAAAAGGTATTTTATTAGCACACGATTATTATATATTGCAAGCCCATAATTGCAATAGCTTAAAAAAAAAAGTTAAAATTATAAGGGACGCCCACCATTGCATTATTATGTATACTGAAGGAAGCTACGCAGTAACATGTAGTAATTAGAGTGCATTTATAGTAGCAAAGTCAAGTTATTTGATTTGATTAGGATGATATACTAGTGGTCAAAAATAGGCCTGGCCTCGTTAATGTGCACTACTGGTCCAATATTCTGCTTTCAAAGGACTTGATGTAGATAATTAGCAAAGAGTCACATTAACGGTTTGTATAAATATTACGTTCACTGGAGCCACAACATCCGAGCAAAAGTAACAACCTTAAATGAAAATAATTAAAATATTCAATTAAAACCTTTTTCTATACCGACTACTATCATTATTTTATCTTAATAATAGTTTTTTAATAATTCAAGCGTTTTTTAAATAGGAGTATCGTAATTTCAATGGCGCATAACCACAAAAGAATCGAAACCCAAAGCGGCATTCATATAAATCTATTAGTTTATCCTTAACAGATGAAGCTTAATAAAATCTAAAAGCTGCTTAACTTTATCATGAGCCTGGCAAAGGACAGTGGGCAACCACCTGCTTTCACGACTATCAGTTAGCAAGAATACAGCGTGGTCGATGACAAGTTCTTCCAACCTAACCCTTTCACTTTCAATAATCTAAATATTTAAAAAAAGTCAACTCACCTTAGTAGGTAAACTTAACGTCTACGCTAGCAGAACCATGGAAATAAATCAATAAAACTTTTCTCATGTTTAAAAAATCGTTTGTTAGAAAGTTGCACGATTTTCAAAACTATTGATCAAATGGGAATTGCAAGACTTACTAGATGTTGTAATCTCTCCTCAACCTTAACAGTAAACTTCCATGCTTTACTCGTTTACAAAACTGAACAAAAATACTCTCGTATAACATCGCAATGATACGTAAAATAGAGCTTCAAAGAGTAAACAAGAAAAAAGAAGTACTATTTATTTTGCTACAAATAATTTTATTTAATTAAAATGTGACAAACCCACCCTAGTTTGAGGTAAAAGAGCCTCTGTAATAAGTACAATGATTAATGACACTATTTAGTTCACGTTGCTTCGATCAGTTAGCTAGGTCGACCTTAACAACATGTCACTAACACTGATGCACTCCGACACCTTAGCCAAGACAGTATTAGTTCAAGGTTACTTGACCTATCACTAGATACATAAGCCAAATGCCGAAATGCACCATTGGCCTAGCAACGAGGCATACTATTATTAGTCACCGCTCATCGCCAGAGCAGCCACCAAGTTCGCTTTTGTCTTTGTAACTTGCGCCGAACAGTGTTTTACTCTGGCAACTTAGCCAATATTGCTAATGTTTCAGTAAAGGCTCAAAATGCTCTTCATTTACTAAGTCTAAGAATAAATAGCTTCAGAAGTCAATGCCAGAATACCTCACTTCGGCGTTATTCTAAAAAGTTCAAGGTTAATTAGCCTTTACTAATTAATAGTCAATACCAGCTTAAGGTTGGTCATAGAGCTATACGGTTCTAATACCAAACACGAAGGCACCAGGCGCAAGGCATGTGCATAACCATCACGTACGCTCCTTGATGCAAGGAAGATGACATCTGCCAAAGAAGTCAAGCTAATATGTAGGTTTTACCAATTTTAAAGGTCTATCTTTCCATACGACCAGTAAAAAAATTACAGCTTTCCAGAGTAACGTGCAGCCCTGAGCTTAAAGCACACCGCAGGAAGGTAACATAATCACGGTCCATTGGTTTGTAATTCCATAAAGTAGCCCGAAGCATTAACTCGGATACTGCCATAATTTGCTATGAATGAGAATTAATAAACAGTGAGCTTCCAAGAACAGCCGCCATGCACTGCCGAATAGAAGAGGGTGACCTGAGCCGCGGCAGATAAGCCTACATTTGCACGCCATTTCATCTCTAGATAGCACCAATAGCAACACTACACCGAAATCCATCGTGAAGCCTAAAAGAATACCATCCATGGTAGACGCTTTTTTATATAGGGATGATTTTTTCCGACCTCTTGACGATAATGGCTTCGCGGCAAAAAGCAATCCTCGCTCCATTAATGAGTGTACACCAGCACCGAGGATTGCTAACAGCCAAAGGCCTCAAAAGAAGTCTAGTGCTACCACTAACAGCCTAACCTACACAGCTG